CGGAGTGTAAGCGTGTAGTCTCCTTACTATACGACGCGAAAATTAATTGCGAGATCGGGATGTCAGAATCAATAATACACTGTGGAAATCAGGCCGGGCCCGACAAATGCTACGATCACGAGATCAGTCAGCGCTCATGGCCGAACTTGAGGCCGTGATTTCTCTATTTGATCCGAAACAGGAGCATTGCTTTCGCAATTGGTCGCTATCGAATCCGTCAGTGACGCGAAGCGATCTCTATAACGTTGGCTCCGACTGAATATCAGAGTAAGCTGAATCCGAGGAAAATCTAGCGACGGATAAATCAACGTACGGCCCGCCTCGTTTCCGAGTAAGATGCCGACGAACTCGCGGAAACCTCCGAGGAGGAGGCATCGCTCACATGATGGCGAAGCGAAGCATAACTCGGCCTCGCGAGGCCGATTTGTCACCGGTGAGTAGATAGACTCTCTTTATCGACGATTTGCATTAGAAACTTTGGCTAAAGTGAGTGAAAGGAGCCGCTAAAGGTTCCCTGCGTGAATACCTACGGCCGAAGCACCACCGGCTACCGAAGCGCTCGGGGACTACTAGACACTAGACTATGCGCTCAGTCGCCAGCGGAAGACCGGCGATTCGGCGAAACGTTCCAATTGATCCGACAGCGAGACTCCGATGGGTCTATTTTCCAACGTCCGACATCTTAACTCGAGTCCATCAGGCTGCATCGATGCTGCAAGTGAACTGCAATGTGAGCCGTAGTATTGTGGGAGCGGATTGTTATATGTGTTGCGATACGATCCCTTGAATGACATCGGCTGGAACGAATGGCGCAATGTGAGGAGGATCGCTCTGTCCAAACCGGAGCTACACGGCAGCTAACGCGTCCGAGACCACAATGAAGTATGATGTTGGCCGCGTCGCGACGTGATCTGTCCTTTGTGATGGATTGACGGGACACTCGGGTACTACGCCCGAAACAGCCAAGTAGGGATGTATGAACTCTGTTCCCCATTGTTTCCTTCCGATTGTCTGAGGATATCGTGCATACTAAGCCATTATTATCAGCGTCCGGATTACATTATTTAGCGGAGTTCTGGCGGGCAAGTAGCTCGCCTCTTATCATGAGCTCATATGTCTCCGCATGAATCATTGGGGAGTCCTGGCTGATCTCATTCTCGAGTCATTATTTGATTGCTGAAATCCAAAGATGTGAGTTCGGGGGGGGGGGGAAAGGGGGGGAAAGCCAAGGAGGTAGAATTTCGTAAGACCGGTGATCCTCAGGGTCTCAAGCTTACAATCACTCGCCTCGCCGTGGATCCTCAAATACCGCTAGGTGGAAGCAAATGTTACGTCAACGGAGCGTAGGATACATACCTTCATACACCCCCTAACGCGAAAAACCGACCTACAAGCTCGAGCTCGGATGGGAGATACCGACAAGCTCTCCCTTCGTGGATATCATCGGCTCCTAGGATCGTTAGATTTCGAGACGTGCGACGTACAATTCGGCACAGAGGAATTGGCGCCTTCATACTGAATCGCGGGTACGAAATTTCCCCGTTTTTCTCGGCAAGCGTTATTCTCCCATCCTTAGAACTCTGAAGCGTTCAGGCATGCGATCGGTCCTCTCGACAGGATTCACTCTGTCTCACTTAGGGCAGATGTCGATGAATCCCGCAGAAGACGGGAGAGTAACGACTACTGACCAAGAACTCGGAAGTGCTGCAGCTTTGAGAATCTCATACGATTTTTATTCTCTATTTTGTACAATTTCCTCCATCAACAAACGTTTTCCCAACGATGAACAACGACAATGCTCGGGATATCTCTTCCTGCGCTGCAGTAGTTCAAAACGAAATACACATCCAGCTCGCAGAATACACAGCATCTGCACTCTTGTGATGATTATATACAAAGCCCCAATATCAGGCCCCAGTCCGGCTGCGTGACCGATTCTCGGTTGCGTATCGTCCCTGGCGTTCCGCAATCCATCAAATAGGAATATATCTACACGTTCTGTGGCATGGCATGGAATTCACAGTACCGGGGTGGCACGACGCGACATCTCACATTCACATGAACTAAGTACTCGAAATATTTAGCTAGCTCCCTCTTCAATAATAATAATAATTAATCCTAATAATCAGGTTGGCAGCTGTTTGTCTCCAGATACGTTCGTGGAAGGTGTTCTCACGAGATCCCCGTCCAGATATGTGAGTTTTTCTCTGTTCGAGCGACATCACTTAGCGGTACCGCCTTAACTCGGTAGGGTTGTTATTTCGACCCTTTGAGCAACATGGTAACGGTTCCAGCTAGACAGATACAATTCCAGAGCGTGCTTTAGTTGAAAGTTCTTCGATACCCCGAGGGATGTAAGATACATAGTATCGAACTGAGTCTCATTCGACAAAACGAAAAAAGACGGAAGCTCCGCCTCGGAAGAGACAATACCATATCGGAAAGTAAGGGGGCATTGGGGAGAGATGAGCCTCAGCGGCCCGTGGGAGGGCTGTTGAGGCTTTTGGAAAATTAGACTTTTCGCTCTGCACGAGGTCCTCCCCTCCGATGCAATTCTTCCGGAGACGCTCCACCCTCATTTCCTCAAGCTCATGTAAACGACGTCCCAGTAACCGGTGAGCTTCCGCCGAGATTCTTCATTCGACCCCGCGTTCTGACGAGAGTGCCTAATTCATATTCATCATCAGACAGTGGAGTCCCGCGGAGGGACCTGTCCAATTCCCGGGAGAACGCATACACGGTTTCGGTCTCTGGGAAGCCCACCGTAATTTATGAACAACACAACAAGCTCACACACAAACACTCGAATCCTTCCCCATGCGGGAGAGCACACGGACCTTCGGAGAGTGAGCGATGGGGATGAAGATTTAGAATTTAGAGACTGGCGCTCTTGGAATAGCAGCTTCCCTAATGAGTCTCAGATTTCAATAGTTTCTGCTCTTGCGCCAATTGTGGTATCGCACTCCGGAATTCCAAATGTCAAAATTCGCTTGCGGGGAATTTCCGGGTTCCGTCGACCTCGATTCCGATTCATCATCCGGAAATACTCTCCTATCCAGTGCAGTCGTCTTTAATGAGACGACTTGCGAGTCGCTAGAACTCCGATAGGACATTGGTTTCTCTGCCACCCAGAGATGGTCGCCCCCCCTTCTCCTCCATTCAGTCTCCTCGGGTTCCTTATCCCTATATGTAGATGATTCCCACGGTTCGCCCACCACGTGTCTCGTCCGTCTTCTATGAGCTGATAGATTTGTATCAGAGTTCTCCCGCAGAACCCACTCTGTGTCCAACATGAGAGTCTTCAACGAGTGCTTGAGAGTTTTGTGGCGTTTCAACTTCCGGCTCCTGTCCTTCTCGTTGCGATATCGAGGCTCATTCAGCCTCCTCATACGTGGATAATGAAGCCTCATACGATCTCAGCCGCTACGCTCGATCATTAACGTATCATATGCGGAGAAAGAACTGTACATGATCCGAGACTCTCCTCCTCCCGGATAAACAAATTTCACTCTTGGAATCGATGACGCGTCTTCATGATCGGCGGAGCGCTTCGTTCAGAAGATCAATCAAGCAATATTTCACTCAAACAGCCACACCGCAAGCTGAATAACGTTTATGAACAGACAGCCTTGAGTTAACAGCAGATATTTGCGTTGGTGATTTCAGGTAAACTGCGCGCAGAAACCTTTCGCGCACTCAGCGAGCTGCGCTTACGGTCGTTTATTCACTCTTTTCTTATTCCCTGCTTCATTCTGGCTTGTGCTCTCTCCTTCGAAACTATGAAGACTCTGATAAACGAAAAAATTCACCCATTCACAGAGCACGTTTTGAGCGAGGAGCGCACGAAGAAACCTGAACTGTACGCGAGTTCAGAGTAATATCCTAATGAATGTTTCGGACATTCCCGCTGTTTCAGGAAGCGAACCTCCGAATACGAGAGGTGTCGCACAGGATCCTATCCTTAGGCTTGCCTGTCTCTGAGGCTTGCTTGTTGCCTGATTTTCCCCGCCGGTGCACCAGGACATCCATCGGGATAGAATTCTGCGATGACTCCGCAAGGAGAACGCTCCAGGCTGGGCATCGGAATCATAGAGCGAGTCCGAGAGGCTCGTCCTGCTCGAGAATGAAGCCTTTTCTCCTCGTACGAAATAAAGCGAATTAGAACGGCAACCAAGCCTTCGTAACAAAAACATACGGAACTGGAACATTCAAGGGTCTCAATCCATTATCGAAACCTATTCGAATGAGACTAATACAAGTATCTATCCGCAGCTATGAACATTGTCCGTGATTATCGAGCCGAGCACAAACATTTTGTACTGCGGTCCAGCCAGAACCGCGTACAACGCACGTGGATTCATCTATGCGTGTAATGATAAATGCTTCTGATTACGGAAACGCCGAACTTTGAGGGAGAATCTAATCCAGTATATGACCTCATACATCCTCTTACTAGAAGCCTTCAGCTTCAGGGCGATGAGAAGTTGATGAGTTTTGAGCGTTAGATTTCGGAGGGATGTCGAAGTCCTTTGAACACGATGTTGCGTTTTCCGCGTAATTATTCAACTTCACTATCTTGTAACGATCCAACAGACTGGAGCGACGGCAGGGCATTTATGGGCCAAAAATCAATGAAACCCTGACGAAAGGTTGTTGCGTTTTCCTCATATCATACACGACGATGTTTACACAACATAGGGGGGGGGGAAAGAGCGTTGATCTCGCTCAGAGCTCTTCATTTCTAATAATTAACGGATCGACGGACCGCTCAGAAAGCCCTCGTGAGAGAGTCCGTCAAAATTCGGCAACTTTGGTTTCATAGTTTCACTTTGTCGCTGCATCGAGAGTAGTATGTGTGGGTTGGCTTGGTATCGTCTTGTTCGGCTTGGGCACGTGGTGTTCCGCTTTCGTTGTCACCTCCTGGGGCTTCGGCCGCGGTTGGATGCGCCCGGTCTGTAGTCGTTTTCAATCTGTTTCTTCAAATGCGTTTGTTTTTCTCTTCAGCCCGGGGAACCTTTTATGGCCAGGTAAATTTCGCAGAAAGCTTTTCGATACTCGGGGCTGCAAGGAGAAAAGAAACGATATGTGACAGCTCGCTGACACGCGATACCCCCGCATTACGTATGCGGCGGCAGAGGCGGCTGCAGCACCTACCTGAAGATAGTGTAGATGATTGGATTGACAGCCGAGTTCATATATCCCAGCCAGAGAGCGATTTTCTCCCAGAGCGGACTCACGAGATTCCCCTTCCACAGTGCTTGAAGCAGTACGATCACGAAAAAGGCAACCAACACGCGGCGAAGGCCCCTGTCACGCAGACGACGAGCATCAACGCACGGAACTCACGTTGAGCTTCGAGTGATTCCCGATTTGGCCGTCCGTTTTGATTCGCTTCCCGGGCTAGGATGACACGACGGTTCCCGCGGTGATTTCTGCTGCCCTCCTCGACCATGCTCATTTCGATATCCTCCCCTGAGCTGTTCGTCTTCAAGAAAATCGTTCATCTGAGCCTGTGCGCCTTGCACGCCGCGAAAATCTCTGATCTAGCGTTCCGAACATAACGGAAGGCGACTGATCGAATCGCTGAATTACCTACCTGTTGTATCAGAAGAGCATTCCGTCCTGATGGCCGCGCTGGGCAGTGATGAATGTGGAATTGGGCGATCTATGGAGTTGAAAACAAGCTCGTGTCAGGAGATTCCCGGATTGATTGATCTATCTAGGTATCATCGGATCCTCCTCCCTGGCTCTCGTTCCCCCGGGTGCGGTCCAATAGCACGCACATCACCCCTCGCACTGCAAGCTCACGCAATGCGTGTACATGACAGCGTTCTCGACTTCGCATGGGCGGCCCAGTCTGTACAACCTGTCCTATGCGATGAGATCTCGCGAGTTTATTTTCCTGTCGCCGTCGGATCGTTCGTCCACCCGAAATCAGTGAGTCGGACAATCTTGTGCCGACACGCGCTCGCATGGAATTGGACACTCTCCACACGAAGTCGACGTAGCTGCTGCGCATTCGCTCTCGGATCATCGAGGAGGCGGTTCTCGGTATCTATGCATGTATGTCCACGGTGAATTTATTTCTCGATCGAGTAAGTTTGCGGAAATCTTCTGCGGGATCGGGGAGAATTACAGGGGTTTTTGAAACGAATTCGCATCGATTCATCAAGTTCGACTCGAACGCCAGTGAATGTTCGAGCTCGGATCGGAAACCGATGGCGATCAAGAATCAATGTGTCCACCTATCGGATGAATCGTCACCCATTCGTGTTCTAGACGCCGCTCTCTATGAGAGGCTTCGAGTGAGATGAGGTGCTTGAGATTTCTTTTTTCTTAGAAACATGCCCGCGCATTCGGTCCAACTCGACAGCCGACCCATGTCAAGCCATTCACAGTGCGCATTCAGGAGCACTGGTCCCCCTATAAGACGAATAAGGCAACAGGAATGATCGATGTACCTTCACCTTCGAAACAAAACCCCAACGATACTCACAGCCGTGATTTGGGTATCCGGATAGGGTCGCGCCGCTCGAATTCCCTCTAGTAATCGAGTTCGACCGCCGAGGCATTTGACGGTTGTGCTCACCATTCGAACGGAGTTCGATCCTTCTTTCGTTTAAAAGGGCTCGCTCAATCAGCTTCCGGCAGGCTCGAGCCTTTCCGGCCAATCGAAGGTATCGGCCACCTGACCGGATCTCCATTTTCTCAAACCCTATGGAACTTTCTCTTCGGAATTCCGAAGCGAGCTCTCAATCGGGGCCATTGGCCCCTCCGACGCCGAGGGTCTCTCGACGCGGATTTACTCGAGCGAATCAACGCCGGAACGAAACTCTTCGTTAGGAGCCGGACGATGATCAAATCGAAAATCCGAGCCGAGAATTTCTTGCTCCCGCCCGAGCGGCGTCATCTCAGAAAACGGATTTCACGGGGTGGAATGCGCCTTATTCACGAGAGCAAGACTCCATAATTGCGCAATTCCCCGATCACCCAACGCTGACGGTATTTGTTCGACTTCAAGCCTGCTGTTCGTCGATAGGGCGAAATTCAGAGAAGGACGCTGCTCGCTGCGAACTCCTCAGGAGTCAGGAGGATTCTTCCGGAGAAAATTATCGATATGATGCGAGTCGACTGTGATATAGCGTCACTGATTTCACAACTCTGCAGGAATGAACAAATATTCAATCTTGATACTTGATACACCAGGCTCATGGATGCTCGATTCCTCGCGGCTCGGACCGCCTCCGGATCTGCTTCTCGGTATCGACGGTATCGAAATATCCGAGTACTGAGCGAAAGCGGCGAATAGAACCGATTGCTCGACAAAATGGGTTGCCGATTCCGCGGCTTGCAGCGTACCTCGAACGTTCCCGTGAAGCTAAGGCTCAGAAATTCTGCATTTCGGCAATCCCCAGGAGATCTTGAGGCTTCGCAACTTGCCCGAAACTCTATCGCAGGCATCCCGAGAGAACCGCGACTCGTCTATGGAAAACGACGTAGCACGACTTTGGTACGGCAGCGGAACAATGCGAGAAAATTGCGAGGGGCAACGGCATTTCAGCTCATGGTATCGGCTGCTTTAAGAGAAGCTCTCCGATGGTTGTAAGTACACGCATCGCGTATCGAGCCATCGAAAAACTGGGAATTCGATGAAGCTCGGAATCGCAGGTGGCCGGTGAACAAACCGAGGCTGCCCCCTTTCTCGACCGCTGCTCGGAGAAGCCTTCGTTTCTTTCTTCGCTCTCGACAGATAGTACCATGGCGGAGGCGTTTCTTCGCAACCGACAAGACGAGCACGTAATCGTTCCTTTGAATTACCTCAGGGAGCGAGATTTCCTGATTCCCCAGATCGCGGGTTCTGGTGACGTCGAGACCCGTGGGGATTGCCCCCGAATTTCGAGGAGACTATCTGTGTCGGCAAATTACTTTCTGAATCGGGGATTTTGGACGCACACCCGTTATCGGACTTTCCACAGGACTTCCATCCCGTCGCAAGAACATGGCGGGAATCGAAGTCGGAGTCACGCGCCGTCGGGGGAGCGACGAGAGCCAGGGAGAAAAGCCACTTGGGTACGAAACATGAAAAACTCGGCAGAAGACGGAGCAAAGTATTCACAGCTCGGGTAACGGACAGATTCCCCATTTCCGATGCTGATGGAGGCTGTGAGGCTGTATCTGTTTTCAATCAACCGCTATCTCAACCGATATTCTCAGACCTTCACACTCGACTCACGTGAAAAATGCGATAGTAAAGAGCCATGACGGTCACTATGGGAACGTAGAACGAGGACATCGAAGCGAAGATCTGATACCAGGGCAGCTGAGACACCAAGCACATTCCATCCGCCATGCTGTAAAGAAACGATTCAGCATCGATTTCCTGCCGCTGGCGGTCCGCGCCGAGCGTACGGGAATCAGATATCTCGTAATTGCTCAGAACTCGATGGAATTCCACGCCGGCTCACGCTTCAAGGGCGGGCGAAGGAAACTCACCGCGCGTCGAAATCTGGATCTTGCGCAACAACGAAAGGCGTCACCGCAATTATCGCGCTCGTGACCCACACCACGTATATCATACACGATATCTGCGGAAAGGCAAGCGAAAGAGTGCTGTTATTACGAAAGATCGCCGGGAAGCCTCTCGCTCTGGAATTAGAAAAGTTTAAAGCATACTCTCGGAGCTGTATTGAGTGCCTCACCGCCCATGTTGGTCGACTGCGGGCATAGTTTATTCTGGATACCGAGAGATAACTGCAACGAGATGATGTAAATGTGTTATTTTTGAGAGGCCTCTAATTTCGATCCGTGATTATTCGAGAGATTGAGAGGGGTCACCGCTTGGCTGAGATATCGCCTCTGATGGATTTGAATTTGTTCATCCATTGTCGTGGAAGTCGAGAGGACCCTCGACTTTCGATCGCTTACACGAGTCGATGACAAGCAGTTTCCTATTCGAGCGTCCTAGCAGCAGCTCCGATCCCGAGCTTGACAATCATGAAGCGAAACTATTCCATATGGAAGTCATCGCCAGATTGATGCTGCCGCGGCGTATCGTCGGTATTCACGAGAGCTCGAATCGCGCGCGGCTAATCCCTTGAAAGCTCGGGACATACTGCCAAGCTGCTCACTTATGAGCTTATCCCCATGAGGATCGGGAACTTTTCACGATCGCGTTTCCGACAAGAGTGGACCTCGCAAGCTCCTGCTCCGGGGAGGTGCATTGAATGGCAAGTCTTTCGTATCGATATATGCGTATTAGCGATTCCGACCAAGGGAATCGAGAAGCAAAGTTCTCCGTGGGCGGTTTACGAAATCCAATTCCCTCAGTCCGTTTGATCATACGTTCTCCTCGCACAAGTCTCGGCTCGGGATAATCTCGGAGCCAATTGACGTCCGAAGCTTCCGCGATGGCGTCGATTCACTTCGATGGAAGAAGAAAGAGACATCATTCAGAAGCTTCACGCGCATTATCGAAGTCTTCGGCTTCGTCGTGAGTTTTTTCCCCTGCGGTGTGGTGTTCCCATCCTCAGGACACACCGGCCTCAAGGTCGAGCGCGGCTATTGACCTCGTTTATCCAACTTTCGCCTTTAAGACGCACAATAAGCTTCCTGGTCATCCACTCTGCCTCTGAGAATGTTCTTTCTAAATCGATAAACTTCATTCGTGTTCCTCAAGGAAGCGACTCCGGGCCGAATCCGAGAACGTGCCCGCAGACGAGCCGTATTTACTGCAGGAGTCGCCCGAATGTTCAGCGTATAAAACCCGTTCCCTTCGTCTGCGAGCTTTGCGACGGAAAAGCACCGGAGCAGCCCCTCACGACATCGCGATGGAATGAAATTCCCGGCAAGGTCAGTCGACGCATGAGGAGTCGACATTCGTCGAGTCCTGATTAGAATCCAATCTGGAGCAGGAACACGTCTTTGGTAGCGGCTCCGAGTCATACGGTTCCGTGCAAACGGACATGAGTATCTGGACTGTATTGTCTCGAGTGATCTTCAGAGAGGTCTCACGAGAAATAGAGTCCAGGGAAAGCTGAGTGTATCGTCTCTGAGCCGCTCTCATATGAGGGTCATTCCGAGACCGAATTTGGAGAATGAGATGATGATCATCCTCGCCGAAAGCGTGCGTAGGCCTCGCAAAAATCCGTAGATACTTCATCAATAGCGGCTGGACGAATCAGACATTGCTCAAGCGATAGTCGTCTTCATACCCAGTCCGACAGGAAATCACCATTTCCTCAAGTTCTGTTCCCGAAGGGATCACGAATGCCCGAGAATTCCATTTTGTCGAGATTTTCACTTTTTCCCCGAGCTTTCGAGGTAACCCGATGCAACGGTGCGAGATTGGAATTTCGACTCCGTGGACTCGCGGGGGCAGGGCTCGCGTCCTGGGACCGTATTTGCACGTCTCTCGAAGCCGGAGAGCAGTAGCGAAGTCTCGCGACCACCTGGCCACGGCAGTTCAAAGGTGACCAACTGGAAAGGCTCAGTTGGCAGAGGCGCCCGGTAACAATTATCTCCTGCTTGCGGCAACACAGTGATGACATCATCAACGTCGTCCCTACATATGGACTCACTCAGTTCCTCGCTGCGACGTACCCAAATGCCCGGTCTACCCCCGCCCGCCTGACGCTCAAGCGTCCACAGGATCCGGATATAGTCCGCTCTTCGTCTCTTTATGATCTTGTCCCTATCCCGATTTGGGAGCATTGAGTGCCCCCTCGTTTCGCACCTCTCATGATGAGGCCGAATGGAGGAGCACCGAAAAAAAGACGGAGGAAGCATAGTGCGCCCGAGGAGCTCCTTCCAAGCCGAACTCGCTTTCGGTTTTTTGAATCATTCCCGCTACCCACAGGAAGAATGCGGCGAAGTTCCGGAGACTACACTGCAGCTCAAGCAGATCCCCAAGGGACCGTGAGGTTTGCGCCGCGGGCATTCAGACTGACTCATTGCAGGAAGAATCTCGTAAGCGGAGGAACGAAATCCCCGGGAAAATACCCTTCAGCTCCGGACTCCGAATTGGCCGACTAATCCGAGGGTCGAAGTGATTCACCATTTCCAGAAAAAAAATCGATGGAAAGGATGTTTTTGACTGAATTTCATCCTGAACGGATCCGGTTTCACCAATTGTGCGATGCCTCAAAGCTCAAGCCTTTTTCACGTCCAAGCTGCGAATTTTGGTAGGGATTTGAGAAATGCTCGAGCATCGTTGAGCGAAGTCGGTCTTCATCCGAGCAGCATACGGAGACGACATCGACAGACTGGTTCTAGCCAGGAAAGGAGTTGCCGCTCGGAGGGCGAATCGACAGAACTTATTCCGGCTGCCATTGAGTCGGGGCCAATCAAACTGAAATCGCGAAGCAAATTGAATACGAGTACTCCGTATGCGCAAGGCCGGGGCATTTGGAAGTTGCTCGAGCTCTCGCTGTCAACAGGTTTCTCGGAATTTCGGGACGTTTGTTCGGAAGTTTCCCGAAAGTTATTCGACCGGGTATTCCGTTCAGCCGCGAGTGAATCGGCTTCACATGAGCAGCCAGGCTGATTTAATGCACATAGTCGGAGGGGTCGCCCTTCAGGCGCGGGAAGATCTCGATACGGATCGGATACGAGCTCCAAGCTCTCCAGGTTTTCGATGGAAGCTCTCCCCTTTCTGCCGAGAATGTCATGGAATTTGTGTCAGAGATTCGCTCCCATCCAGCAGGAACATCTACGTGAGATGGCTCCTCTTCGATAAGGGAGTCTCGGGAGACATCCCCGAATGTGACTCTGTGCCTCCAATGTCGTAATAGCGTCGTCGTGTGGCCACATGGGCTCGAGCTAGAATGAATAAAACATATACTTGACGGCAGCGATCGTGTTCGCTCTAACGCAGGCGCCGGCTTCTCACTCATCGTTCTCATCCCGCTAACAAAGTCCTTTGGTTCGGGCTTTGGGTTGCTCCGTTGGCAAAGTTGTCATGGCTGGCTACGTCCCCCCGCTCGACAACCGCATGGCGTTGCAGAGATTTGTAGTAATCTAGGTAAATACTCCAGTTGTTTCAAGTACCCAGCCGAATGCGTGCACATGCGGATGCCGTTGTTGACCGTCGTAATTGAGAAGGGCGCACACAGAGCAATACGACGGCGGCGAAACTAGTTCACGATACGATCTATTCAACGGCATCTAACGGAAGCGGAGCTGTAGGCCGCGCCGAGCTCCGTATACCCCATAGACTCAATGCTCGAGCGGCGCCGTAGCGCGCCGAACAGTTCTACATACTAGATGCAAGTCGAGAGTCTTCTCCGAGCGGAGGAGAATCGCAATCATTGGCGGAGATGCTGTCCGCGGTAGCCGTGGCCCGTAAACGACTCTAATTCGTACCACACGGAAATGTGTGCAAATAGGCGTGCATAGGCATAACACGACGAATACTGTTTACCGTGGGCGGTGCCGTTGATAGACAAGTTTGTAACCCAAGCTATGAGCAGTGACCCATCGTCGCAAAGCTCCGCATCTGATGCTCTTGCTTGCAATAGCTCATTATTTTTCGGTAGCAGCCGAGCCCGGCCGGCTGTCGCGAACCTCAAGTTAGATGCAGGTTTTGACGACTCTCATTGGGCTGCTTCACGCAGATCGCGTACGCAATCCACGATCGATCGTGACCAAGATCAATTAGAGAAGTGGTTTCGGGGAGAGCCGATGGTCATAGGTCACATAAATAAACATGACCGCCAACTCAGACACAGACCAACGCAGGGCGATTGGAAGAGACCTGAGGCTTAAGCGTAATTTCTGCACGTCGATCCTGGAGTCGATACACATTGCCCCGTCCCCGAGAAGTCTTTATACAGTGTGATTGTGGGACGAGCCAGGAACAATCCAACGGCAAACCGCATGCTCCACTTGACCCCCCCCCCCTGTAGCGGGACATTTCAACGTGGTGAACGATAGCGGCTTTCTCCTCGACGGTCTGGAGCGCGCCAGTGCCCGGGGAACGCGTGGGGGCTGAACCCAGGGGATCGTGGGGATACGCCACGCGCCAGATGCGCGTGAGATGCACACCGTTTCTTTGTCATGCCCCGTCTGAAGTAGGAGAACAAGGTCGTGTTCTACAGAGAGCGCTCCGTGTTCGGTCGAAATAAGTTGGGGAACAAGAACACGACACGCGTTCGGTGGTGAGTTCACAGCGAGCTGCGGCAGGTCGAGCAGAGGAATCCCTCGAATGCTCGTTCATTTTTCGCTCTCGGACACGGAATTTCGCGCTGGGTGCCCACTTCAACCGACCAGCGACGAAGTTTCGGCTCAGGTAGAATAGATGGGCTGTGGAAAACTCCCCCGTTGCACGATGTATTCGGGTCAGTGCACATCGGACGGATGACCAAGGCTCGATCGATAGGCTACTCACCGGTCTACTGCTATCGCAACAAGATGTAGAATGGAAGAAGTGCACAGGAGCACATCGCAGAACGTGAATCCGAAGCACGTCCACTGGCCGAGGTCCCAAAAACCGGATAACTGAAAGCGCGAACTCTCCTGAAATATTCTCTCTTGCCCTCTTTGCACGTCTATGCTTCACGGACGGTCAGAAACTTCAAGAATTTCTTCTATCGGTCAGAAATCAAGTCCAACTCACCTCGGCGTACGCAGCAAGAGGAACAACGACTAAGCCGACTAAGAAATCACAGACGGCTAGTGAAAGCTGAAGTCGATGGTGAGCTTGTCGCAAGTTCTTATTGTAAATGACGGAAGCCATCACTAGCCCATTACCGAAAAGTGTTATGAATATTAGGAGGCCGACACTTACGGTCACCGGCCAAAACGACCACGTTCCCGCATGACCTCGCGGAACGAGGAACACTGTTTCGGTTGGCGGCTGCTGGAAAAGGTGAGCTTTTCTTAGCTCGTACGAGTCCCAGAGTTTCCTGCCCTGGAGTCCGCATCGGGAGCATGTGAGCTCCTGAGAATACTTCTCAGCTAGAGCCTCGGAGTCCCCAGAGGGAATTCGGAGACGAGTCGAGATCATCGGAACTGATTGAAGTCGGAAGTGAATTGATCAGGCGCTACGAACAGCTTCCGATGTCGCGGATGAACTCATGTATCATGCAAACAATTGGAATCCGGTGAAATCTATGCGAACCTTAGCAGGAGTGGTTTCGTATTCGACTGCGCTGTCGCCCGATGCGGCCCATTCGGGATTCAAGGCTTCCGATACCCTGGTGTAGTACACTGTAATCAAAGTTAATTACAATTTTAGACCGACCACGGCGCAATATGCGATTCGCAGAGCATTCGGAGAGAGGACCTGATCGTCGGAGAACGATTCCTCGGATCCAAAAACGAATGCCTGTTTTGCGACCAAGACGAATCCCTCAGCCGAATGAGCAATCGATCCGCTCGCGAAAAAAGAATATTCAGAGAAGCTTCCGGAGGAGGAATAAATGACTCTGTATTTTCTATTGAGCCGAAGGAGGGAGGGAGCGAATCAGAGTCTGTCAATTTCGCAATAAAGCGCACTACGCAGAGACATACGAACAAGAAATTTATTCCCCTCCCTACGCGGAAAATTTCCGGGAATTCCCGTGTGGCTCCCGTCTAGTGCCCCGACAGTGCGCAGAACCGCACGAACATATGTATCTTCTCCATAAAAGAAGTCATCCTCGGAGTGGAATCAGGCTGTCAGAACGCGGGGAGAAATAGGACCGGGAGGCCTACAAAATTCCTCCGGGAAAAGTGTCCGAACTCTCCACGGTCGTGTTCCTATTGTTGATACGGCCGCCTGCCGGGGTAACAAACAGTAGAGCGGAACTCTTTTCCCAATTCATTGCGCCGCCTGGAGCTTCTTTGACTCTGAGCCGCTGACCATTGGGCGCGGGACGATTCCACACGCTCAGGCCTCCGTGAAGATCAGGGGAAAAGAATGTAGGTCGTAGGGTAGAAATGATTTCGATTTCAATTCCATGACATTTCCCCGATCCCACGCAAAAGAAGGAATCATCAATATTGAGCGAACTTCATTCAACCTGCGGAAATCGGCGAGAAAAGGAAATCAATACGCGGAAAACCATAGGCGAGTCGTCGACTGGAGGCAGTCGATATCAAAAGCCATGGGGACGGAGAGAATGAGTGACAAGAGACTTCCTCGGGGTTCACGCGTGGATTCTGAATGATTCTTGGTCCACTCAAAGTCCCGCAACGCGTCAAACTTCGATTTTCTGAGTTTTCAGCGCAGAAGCTATGCTCGAATTCCATACATGTATGAGCGATGAGGAAAACTGCGGAAACTTCTATAGGATTCTGTCGGCTGAATCGTCAAATCTCGCGACCGTCTCGAAAACGGAGATCGGCGAGATCGTTTCGAATATCATAGGCCGCAGGATACGAGCCTGACTGAGACAGAGAGGGATCCAGCATCGACACGAGGCTCAAATCTGAGAGATCGCTGGGTTAGGTTTCCGGTTAGCTGGGTCGAGCGGACCGTTGCCAGTGGAACGAGATCGTCCGGCGTCGCAGAGTGATGCAAAATTAAACCAGTGAGGAAGCCTCAGCCAGATCATAGCAAGCCCGATCTAACTCCTGGCGAGCTTTCGAATTCAGTCCTGGCCGAAATCAAATCTGACAACTAACATTCCCAGATTCCATCGAAAAGGAGCGAACTGAAACGCTTCTCGTTCGCTCATATGCAGGAGGTTCCTCGGCGCTGATTCCACGAGAGTACAAGGTTCCGCGGGACGATTTCCGTTATTTTTACGCCCAATCTCGACGCTTGAGAGCTCTCGATTTCATCTTTCCGGTGTCTTCCCGTGACGCGAATTCCTGTCGTCAATTATTATGATCATCGTCATCGCCGCAAATGTGCGGCTTACAGGAGCACCCAGATTCTCGGGGCGAGAATTGCGAAATATGGACCAATTCGACGAAAATACAATTTTCTGCATCCATCGTAATCGTATTCGAAGCGGGTGAATAAGTCCTCCATGAGACTCGGCAAACGATTCGCCATAATCGCAGCAGCCGAAAACAGATCTTGAAGATTCTCATGCCAGATCCAGGATCCCTCGCGAGATATTCCACTCAACGTGCGCCATCCTCAGTTCGTAAGAGCTCTGAATGACGATGATTCGACGGAGACCTTTTGTAAAGAGAAAGAGAGCTCGTCGCGTAGCGGCTTCCGAAACCCTCGCGATTCTCACTGAGGGAAAACGCTCGTGCCGTAGACACTATCGTCCCCATCGCGAAAACTCACAACGATCAATCCAGATCTCGGTCGACTGCATGTGTGACGGATCCTAACCTCTCCAAGAGGTATACATACATACATGAATACATCCCTCGGTTCATATAATATGACGCGGCTCCCTGAGGAAGCAGGTTGAAGGCTAGCGAATGTCGCTGAGAATAGATTGCCACAAACGGGTGGCACTGTGAGCTCGAAGGGCGTCATATCTTTGCGGGCGCCTGTCATGAAGAGTTTGGGGAGCAACCCGGTCGACAGAAATCTTCCGAAGCGGATTTGATGCTTTTCCGACCCGATGTAGTGATCAGGCCAACACCTCGTTCGAAACGCGTCGAAGCCCCATGGAGAATCCTCAGAGCGACTCTCGTGATTTTGGGGGCACTCGCGTAGTCTTTTGCGCTTTCCGTCGACGAGGCTATGAGCATAAGACCGGCCATCATATGCCCGCCATGGCGAGAGGAAGGCTGGGAGCTCGCACGCGCGTGGCTTGGCGTGGTCGTCATGGAGCATCTTGGCTCGATCCTCCCGACGCTGGGTATCCGCTGGAGCAAGCAGTGAGGTATCTGGCCGGGAATCCGACCGTTCGGGCCGCATTTCGGGCTGTGCTCCGTTCTCCGACGTTGATCGGAGCCTGGTGTTCGAATTCGGGACCGGAAGACTGACTGGTCGCGAGTGGCCAGAAACCTGTGCTCGGAGGGGACCCACGGGGAATACCCGATGGAAGATGTCCAATTCCCAAAGAACTGTGGCCGACGCGTGACTGAGGTCATCATTCCGCATTAACTCGATCCCGGAGGACATGCGTTCGCGTGGGAGGTCTTCGCAAGCGTCTCTGCGGGAGTCTCCGCCGGGGAGTTCCGAAGAGAACCCCGGGGGAACTCACCTCGCACTTCCCGCGCGGACATCCGATGCTCAATCGAATTATGTCAGTCTCTAATGACGGCGTCATCCTTCCGACTCATGGACTAGGACCGGGAGAATGGCGCCGATAAGATTTTAGGATCCACGTATTTTGGATTTTGGAATCACGTATGCACTAGATAGCTTTCTCGAGGGAAGCGCGTCCTTACTCTAGCGTTGATCGCCTATGAAATCTTGAAATAGACCAAGGTGAATTAGAGGAGGTGTCACCTCATTTGCCCTGACCGAAGATCTTTCGACCAGCGTTCTTCGCCCATCATTCGCCTTGGAAATATCTTCCATGTCTCCCTATAGATTGCCCCCACGGTTAGATTCAGAGCTCTGCCGAACGTTCCCGCTGAACATCAACTCGAGAATTCGGCCCCCGAGCGCTCCAGCTCAGAAATGACGAAAGTTGTTGGACACGTTGTGGACGAATTTTCTTGGTCATATCCTGGTCGAGGACGCCAGATGCTAAATTATTCGAAACAAGCCTGCGTCTAAGGCTAACTCAAACGGATAAAAAAAAATCTTCAGGATCTCGAACTTATTGACCCTCCTCAATACGATGTTTGAGTAGACGGCCTGGTCGGCGCCGTGAGAGCTTTGCCTTGGCGCTGCACTGTGAGCAGCGCAGCCTTGGGGACGCGTTCTTGGCGCCTTACCAGGCTCCTCTTGACGGCCGACCTCCGAAATATTTCATGGGGAATCAAAGTCATTGGACCCGCCGGAACCCTTGCCCGGTAGATACGAGCCTGCTGTGGCAGATGGAGCGGTCTCATGGGCCGATGTATGTAGCGGCCTCGCAATTTCCTGAGGACATAGGTCTCGAGGAAATTGTCGAGAGATGGTCGGCATCTTATTCGGATGCATATTCATGCTTATCCGTCGACCAGTAAACATTGCAAGTCTCTTCCCCATTGTTCAAGCACCATCGAATATGGAGGACAACATCACGAATGAATTGGAAACGAGGCTGAGTGTCACTGAAGCTTCCCTAGACGAGCAGCCACCAGACGACTTCCTGGACGCTGGAGGACTCCCAGAGTTCCGACAGGGACAGTGATGAATGGCGAAGCGACTTGGCTCACGACGGCAGTCCTACGCCTGGAGTTTCGACAACTTATCGAGGAGTCCTTAATTCGATTCTCGAGCTCGTTTTCTCTTCATCAGTACCGGAGTGATTAAAGCTCCGTCCCAACGATCGACCTTGACACACAAGGCTTCCCATTAACGGAACCGACGTCGGGACGTCTCTAGGACTTCGCGCCGGAAGCGGATCCGGGAAACATCCGGGAAACAAATGCCAAGTAAGAATCGGTAGTCCATCCGATGCGAATGTCGACTCGACACCGGGCTCCGTGAACGAGTGACTATTGTCCCCAATTGATCATGCTATCATCTGGTGGATCGCACAGATCGAACAGTAAGACGTCGAGAATCGGGTACCGGGTGATTTGAGCGCGGATTGATCTGAGCGCATGATCGATTTGAGCGCAAAATCAATCTGAGCGCAGAATTGATCTGAGCTCATGATTGATCTAGGCGCAATTGATCTGAGCGCGATTGATTTGAGCGAAATTGATTTGAGCGCAAATGATTTGCGCGAAATTGATTCGAGCGAAATGGATTTGAGCGAAATGGATCTGAGCGAAATGGATTTGAGCGCATGCTTGATTTGAGCGCATAGTTGATTTGAGCGCATAGTTGATTTGAGCGCATAGTCGATTTGAGCGCATAGTTGATTTCAGAGCATGAGAGATAATTCCTATTTGACATCCTTGTGTCATTGACTGTACATTCTGTCAATGGCTGCTCGTGGAAGTGACAGCTCATTAATAAGCGCATCGACACTCATTTGCTTGAATAAAAATGTTAATTCAGACTCCGACTGCGCGCTTTTGGGAATGCTCCTCCGATTCATATGAGGAGTCGGCTCCAGGTTTATCGAATATTCGCAACGAGTGTCTTTTTAAGAATGGCCACATAGTGAGTCAGGTTAGGTTAGGTTCCCCAATGCAGAGCTCTGACATTGTGAGGCGGACTAAACCTTAGTTCCACCGCCACGAACTCAGGTTTATAGCCGAGCCAC